CGGAGCAGCAGGAGCCAGGCTGGCTGCGGGCAGGTTTTCACTGTGGGGACTTGCAGTTTCCGAGTCTGAAGTAGGTGGATGCGTTTAAGAGCTTTAACGATCCACTCTGCAAGAACACTTGTAGCACGCTAACAGCAAAGACTTAGACGGAAGAAGCATCACTTATCCTCCGACACAAACCCGCTGGAAGCCAGGCGCGGCACACCGAAGGCGCGGCTGCAGCCGCCCGCTCCCGCCCATCCACCTGTTTCTGGGGCAGCGGGCAGGCCTCTCAAAGCAACCGCGTCCGTCCTCTGCGACGCACGATTCGCCCCCAGACGCTGGAGGCCACGCAGGGGAAGCGCCGCGAGGCAGCCGGGCAGCGGGTCAAAGGGACAGTTTCCGGAACAGCGCTGAGGCCTGACTGCCAAGGTCTGCTGCTTGACCTGTGGCTGCCTCCGCTCCAAAACACAAAGTCTGACACCTCGCGCCCCCACAGGCCTCTGCTGAACGAACCGGACCGTCCACCCACGCCGTCAGAGTCAAGTGGCCGTCTCCAGCGCTGGGAGAGCTGGTGCCAGGCCCAGCCGCACCCCGAGGCGTCCACTAGCCCTTCAGTGTTCAAAACTGCGATTTACCAACCCAAAACACAGCGAGCGGCTCTTACGTGGCAGCTCCAGGCCCGGGTGGACGGTGGCGTTCCTGACCATCGGCGGGGAGTGGCGGCCGTCATCCATGTCCAGCTCTGCGCACTGCGCCTCTCCGTGGATCACAGCCAGGCCCAGGCGCAGTCGCTCAGCGTAAGACTGGGCCCTGGGCGGGACGGGACACGTGGGGGCCGGGCCGTGCCTCAGCACTCGCCCCCGTGCGACCTCTGAGGGACACCCAAGGAATCGGAATGGGGGCTGGGCCGTGCGTCACAGGCCAAGAGGACCACGGCCGGGGATGCGGCTACCAGGCCTGTGAAGGCTCCAGCCCTGTTTTCCTTCTGAAAAGGTGAAGGAGGCCTCGTCCTTTCCCAGAAGAAACCCGGCGCTCAGAGGCGCCAGCGCCTGGAGGCCGGGCTGGGCGGGCCAGAGGGCTTGTGTCAGCCCAGGGAGACGGCAGGTGGCTCTTTACCTCTTTGCAGCATCAGGGGACTTGGCTACGATGACCGCGTTCCTGTAATTTGGAATCTAGATTGGAAGGAAAAAGAGGAAACACTGAAAGGTCATCAGAACGGCACCTGGACGCTGGGATCACACCGCCCCGTGTGGCCCACACTAGCCGTCAACTATCCAGAACTCTGGCCACATCTGAAAGCATGCACCTATCCACAGACGTCGTCCCTAAGTACTGCTGCACCGTCAAGGCAAGGCGGAGTGTGTCTTAGAACCTTTGGGAAGATACAAGCGGGCTACTACAGACTCTTAAGGGACACCCGCTTGCGGTCAATGAAAGCTAAGATTCTCCGGCTGAGCCCCGCTGGCCGCTCGGGCGCGAAGCCTTAGGGAAGGTCAGTGAAGTGCCTTGCAGAGCAGAAATCCGACCCCAGGAGACTAGCGGGCCTCTCTGAGGACAGAGGTGTGTGCCGCGGCTCCTCACTTCTTCCTGGATATACTGAAGCAGGAAAGGTGAGGCTCTAAGGTTGTCCACGGGGAAGCTGAAAAAGCCTTGGATTTCCTTCTGATGGAGGTCCATAGTGATAATGTGAGTTAAACCTGAAATTTTAAGACAAAAAATTACAAAGTTCTCCCCCACAAGTCAATGGCAACTGAGGACTCAAACTAGATGGCAGCCCCGTCGCCTGCCTTGGGACAAGGGGCACCAGAGCCCAGAGATCCCACGGGCTTCCTGAACCTTATGGCCCGAGGAAGGCGCCACGCCTGAGCCGAAGGGGCCTAGAACCTTCCACACAGACAAAGTCTAAAGCTAGGGAAAAACACTCCGCTCTGGGTTAGTATCAGCCTAGCCCTGAAGACAGAGGAAAGGAAATTCAGGGAGAGGCGAGCATGAACGTGGATTCACGAACACTTGGTAGTGACCGGTGCACCCGGCGAGGCCTCGACTCGAGAAGCCGGGGTGTGGCTACGGAGCGTGATGAGGGCAGGGGACAGAAAGTGACAGGCGCGCTAGAGGAAAAGAAACTCAGCGACACAGAGGTGGTGCTGGAGCGGGGTGTGATTTCCAGAGGTCACCAAAAATGCCCAGCTCCCCAGCAGCGCAGAGACAAGCCCCTCACGACCAGGGCGCCAGCAGGAAGAGCAGGTGCGGGGGGCGCGTGCAGGTGGCTGCAAGTTCCAAACGGCAGCGCCCGACTTCCCGCCCAACGCCAGCGTCCTCGCTCTCCCCAGAAGCACTGTTTCTGGAGAAGTGGGTTCAGCTGTCTCTGAAGACGGGACGTGCAGTTTCTAGTAAGCTCGAGGCCAACAAAGGTGGTGGCAGGACACTACAGGTTTCACAGTCCAGAGGTTCGTCCCCACCACAAGGTCACAGAATCAAAGCAGCGAGAATGAGCCGCCGCGCAGGAGACCCAGGCGGGAAACAGCGCGAGAGCCGGAAGTGCTGGCACGCGGACTGGGGCAGAGGCGTGGCCTGGACCGAAGCTCAGAGGAGACACGGACGCGAGAGCGCAGCGGGCTCTGCTGGGCCCAAGGCAAGGGCCGGGGAGAAGGCCCAGCTCAGAGGAGGGCAGAGCCGCGAGCCGCCAAGGGAGACCAGGAGCTAAGGCCCTGCTGACGCCGGGCTCGGAGGGCCCCACCCGGGGGCGCGATGGCCACGCGCCTGGGGCACAGCGGCCAGCCCCGGGCCCGCACTCACCGGCCTTGGCCAGCATGGAGGCCAGGAGCTTGCACACGATGGAGCCGCGCTTGCGCATCTTGCTCTGCTTGCTGTAGGGGAAGTAGGGGATGACCCCGATGATGTTCCTGGCGCAGGCCGTCTTCAGCGCGTACGCCATGATCAGCAGCTCCATCACCGCAGTGTTCACGTCTCTGAAACGTGACAATGGCGCTGGATGCACTTCACCGGGCAACCTCTAAGGAGGCCACTGCTGGCCTCCTCACCCCGGCGGCTGGGCTGTCTCGGGGCCTCCGTGGTCACGCTGCTTAGGACGGCGCCTCCTGATCACGGGTGGGGAGGGGAGCCTCGTCTCTGTGGCTCCCGAGTCCCCACGCTCACTGCTGCCCAACGCGCCCTTGCGACACCGCGGGCACCCACAGCTGTCCTGCCAGCGGCCAGTGCCAGAGTGGGTTCGGTCTCTATCTTTTGCAGGTGGAGGGCAGGGAGGTCTCGGACTTCAGTTTCCAAAACCTGCCCCAGGCAGCCTAAAGATACCCCACAAAGGTGACCAGAAGGGCCGGAACCAGACCTGACGGCCCTGGGCTGGCCCCCCTTGAATAAAGCAGCCTGGGGCCCTCTGCTCGGGCTGACCAAGCAGGTGGGCTCTGCCCTGTACAACAAGAAGCAACCGAGAAAGCGGCCCTGAAAGCCTTCTCCCATCACTCTCCCCCGCTTGGGGTGTCCATGGCCCCAACACCCCTCTTGCACTAGCAGTGCGTCTCCCCTGCTTCCCTGAGAAGCTGATCACCCCCAGGGCCGCCCCTCCCCGCGGCGGGGCTCTTCGGTGTCAGTGGCCAGCACGCGACGGGGCGGCTTGTGCGTGGGACCGGGCAGCGCCTGCAGCAAGGGCCGAGGGAGCACTGCGGCCGGTCGCCACAGGCCATCTCTTGACTTGGGTCCATCTGGCCGAGGGGACCGTGCTTGGCGCCCCCCCCCAGTGAGCACAGAGATGCCCTTTCAGCAGCGAGGTTTCCAGGCTTCTCTCAACTAAGCAGGCCTCTGTGGCAAAGCACTTCTCCAGAAGGCAGGAACCCGGTCCGGCCTGACGCCAGGATGCTCCGTGGCCACGATGGCCCGTTCCTGCCCCCTCGGCTCCTTCCTTTGACGTGAACTGGGCATTTTTCTCCCTTACAGCCCCCAAACTGTAATGCTCAAGTCTGGCACCAAAAGGCTAAAGAACATCCCATTCTTTTGGTATAATCAAGACAAAGCCCTGTCAAACACTGACCAAATACTTGGTCACTTTTAGTTCGTTCACTCGCCCCACGGACAGGCATTTACCGAGCAAACAGTCCCAGGGTGCCCGGCGTGCACAGCTGCCAGCGCCCTCGGGGAGGCCAGAGGCCGTCGCTCGGCCGTCACCCGCCCCGAGGAGGGCGTCCTGAGTCAGGCCGTTCCCCTCCCTGAGACGCTGGCGCTGGACTCCAGAGGAAGCACCTCCTCCCCACAGGCGTCCAAGCCAAAGCCTCGTGGGTCTGCAGGCTGGAGCCTCGGGCGCCCTCCGCCAGAGCAAAGGCCTCGGCGGTGTACACACTGCTCGTCAACGCCGGGAGAGACATGGGCCCTCACAGCCCCCGCTGAGGGTCCCACCCTCCCCCCGCCATGTGCCCGTGCAGCGGCAGACTCTGGAGGCGCACGCCGGGGGGACTTGATTTCGGGGAAACTTTCTTTTTGTTAATTACTAATTTCTCCATGTGGCTTTTCTCTCACAGGTTTTCCTGTGCTGGGGGCCTAAGCCCAGGACTCCAGCTCAAGGGCAAGGACGAGGAAGCCTCCCTTGCCCCAGCCCTGCAGGCCAGGGAGGACACAAAGGGCCTTTGTCACACAGACATTCCCACTGGCTGACAGATGCAGCACAAACGGGACAGCAGGCGGCCAGCCCTGGCCGGCCGGGGAGGACGCTGGCCGCAGCCCTCGCTTTGTTTATCTGCCCCAAGCCTGTTCTGAGCCCACCCTGCTCCCGGGGCCGCGTCTCAGGCCCGAGGAGCATCTCCCGCAGCGCGGCCGTGCGCCTGCCAGACCTGGGCTCCGCTGTGGTCACCTGCCTCAGCTGAGCTCCAGGAAGGCCAAACGCAGCCCAGCGAGCCGCGGGGAGCGAGGGCACCGCAGGGCCGCACCCGCCCTCCCGCGCCAGCTCAGCCCACCGCAGCAGGCAAGCGCTGGCGTGTTTTCGGGGGCTGCCCCCGCGTCACATCCAGGGCGGAACCTCGGCGTGGACACGAAAACTGCTCTTCACACCACGCCTAAGCCGAGCCGACGTGGCCCGTGACACGGCCCTGGCCTCACGCTCCTGCCAGGGCCGGGAGCAAGTGCCCTGTCACGCTGGAGAAGACAGCGGACACCCCCCAAGCGCAGGGCCACCTGGGGTGAGGGTGGGCGCAGCGGTCGACTGCAAACTCCACCACCGCGCTTCTGAGCTGGGAAAGGCCTGGAGGCCGGGGCACCCACACCGGGGTTCAATCCCGCACTCAGCGCCTCCAGGGGTGAGAAGGGGGCGGCGGTCTGGAGAGCCGGCTGCCGTCCTGGGGGGGGCCCGGAGGCCTCGCGCCTCCCCTGACAAGCCGGAACACGCCACGGGCCAGCTGACTCGCGAGGAGAGGGCGGCCAGGCAGACACTCCGGCGCGACGTGAGAAACAGCAGGGATGCCGGACACTGGCGTCCTCACACACAAATCGCTCGTGAGTGTGACAGACAGGAACAAACGAAAAGACGTCTCCTCGGCCTGCGGCGGGGCGCCGAGGTGCCGCTGGCCCTTACCTGGGTATCGTCTGGATGATGAAAATGTCTTGGCCGCGAACGGATTCTTTTATTTCAACTCTTGTTTCTGAAAAATAAAAAGGTCCCGTCGTGTGAAGAAGCCTGGCCCAGCGCGGCCGCGTGCACGGGCGCCAGCTAG